CCAGATCTCCCAGAATTCCTAGGAGGAGTTGAGTTCCTGTCTCTGAAGGGTCAAATTCCTGTCTCTCCCTCTCAGCTGAAGAGAGGATGAGGCCAAAGGAACAAGAATCGTCTCAGAAGGCCAAATCATTGCCCAGTCTTTCACACAGGGGTTGGGGGGCTGGACTCTTCCAGAGCCTCAGGGATTAGTGGAGACAATCTAGGGTGCAGCCAGAGAGGGCTTGTTAAGAAAGTTTAAACAAGCAAAGGCCACCAAGCCAGGAGCAGACGCCTCAGCTGAACTGTGCCAAACCCACTCACACTGTGTCCCAGTCACGACTTCTCAGAGAAACACCTGTGACCGGCGTGGCCCTCACCCAGATACTCCTGCCTCGCCCCACAAGAAGCAGTGTGAATCAATGAGACTGGGCCCCATCCAGACACCTTTAGGAAAGATGGGCAGTGAAGCGAGGATGCCAAAGGCCCAATGTCTGAAGAAACTTCGTGGCGAGAAGGTTCCTCCAGAACTAGGCAGGCCAGGTACCTCACAGCGATGGAATTTTAGCTGGGGAGGTGTGACTCCTGGGAGAGTTCCTCCACCCCCTCACAACACACTGTAAACCTCCTCTCTCTCCAGAAGCCTGGACCCCCTCAAGGGCCTGAGGTGGAGCTGAGAGGGGGCCTGCTGCAGAACAAGTTTCTTTTGTGTGAGTGAGCCTGCAGTTAGGACCCCACCTCCCCTCAGCAAGCGCCCAGCCAAGGCAGCCATGCTCTGTCCATCCCAGAGGTTCGGCTTGGTCATTAACGACCATCTCTACTAAGCAACGGGTTTTTTGTTGATCCCTCGAGATAGGAAGGAAGGAGAATAAGCTTTTCTCTTTCTTTTTTCCCCCTTGGTTGCAGAAAAGTGAAGTTGGAACAAACAAGTTATGTAATGCTGGGGGCGGCTGGGGGAACGCAGTCCCTCCTAAGGACAGTTTTTCGAGTTGTGGGACTGCTGGAAGGGCCAAGGGGAAGACAGGAACCGCCCCCACCCCTGGCCAAATGACAAAACCCTTCATGGGACAAAAAGGCAGATGCAGGCACCACCTGGAAGGCTGGAAAACCAGACTCACAGACAGGGCCAGCCTCCCCCCATCCCTGGCAGGCCCACAAGTCTCCCCGAGAAGGCAAGGGACAGACCTGACCACCTAGAAGGGACGTCCTACCAGCCAGACTACAAGCCCTAGAGAGCTTTTCCACACTCCATTCATCCATCCCTCCCTCCCAGCCATATTTCCTTTTTTTTTTTTTGGCTGCTCCAGGTCTTAGTTGCAGCTTGTAGACTTCTTAGTTGCGGCATGCGGATTTCTTAGCTGCAGCATGCGGACTCTTAGTTGTGGCGTGCATGCAGGATCTAGTTCCCCAACCAAGGATCAAAACCGGGCCCCTGCATTGGTACCGCAAAGTCTTACCCACTGGACCGACCACCAGGGAAGTCCCCCAGCCATATTTCTTGAACACTTCTTTCCTCTGGGCTGCCCGTGCTCCAGGCATACAAGACCAAGACTACACGAGACAGACATGCTCTCTACCTTCAAGGTACTTCCACTAGTAAACACACCAAGTAGTGTTGGGTGGTGACTGCATGTTCAACATGTTCACACAACAGCCATAGGACCCAGCAATTCTGCTCCTGGTATGTACCCCTAAGAACTGAACCCAGGTGTTCAGACAAAAACTTGTACATGCATGTTTATCGCAGCATTACCCAAAACAGCCAAAAGGTAGAACCAACCTAAATGTCCTTCAGCTGGTGAACGAATAAACAAAACGTGCTATGTCCACACAATGGAATGTTATGCAGCCATAAAAAGAAATGAAGTACTGACACACATTACATTGTGGATGAACCTCGCAAACATTAATATGGAGTGAAAGAAGCCAGACACTGAAGGTCACATATGGTACGATTCTATTTATAAAACAGGTAAATTTACGGAATTCCCTGGCGGGCCAGTGGTTAAGACTCTGTGCTTCCACTGCAGGGGCATGGGTTCCATCCCTGGTCGGGGAACTAATACCTTGCATAGTCGCGTGGTGAGGCCAAAAAAAAAAAAAGGTAAATTTATAGAGACAGAAAGTAGATGAGTAGGGACTTGCCTGGTGGTGCAGTGGTTAAGAATCCACCTGCCAATGCAAGGGACACGGGTTTGAGCCCTGGTCTGGGAAGATCCACATGCCGCAGAGCAACTAAGCCCGTGCGCCACAACTACTGAGCCTGCGCTCTAGAGCCTGCGAGCCACAATTACTGAGCCCGCGTGTCACAGCTACTGAAGCCCACGTGCCTACAGCCAGTGCTCCGCAACAAGAGAAGCCACCGCGATGAGAAGCCTGCACACAGCAACAAAGAGTAGCCCCCGCTCACCGCAACTAGCGTGCAGCAACGAAGACTCAACGCAGTCAAAAATAAATGAATTAATTTTTTAAAAAAAGACAAACCGGGCTTCCCTCGTGGCGCAGTGGTTGAGAGTCCGCCTGCCAATGCAGGGGACACGGGTTCGTGCCCCGGTCCGGGAGGATCCCACATGCCGCGGAGCGGCTGGGCCCGTGAGCCATGGCCGCTGAGCCTGCGCATCCGGAGCCTGTGCTCCGCAACGGGAGAGGCCACAACAGTGAGAGGCCCACGTACAGCAAAAACAAAAAACAAAAACAAACAAACAAAAAAAAGACAAACCAAGTAAAAAATGGACAAAAGATTTGAAAAGACACTTTACCAAAGATCTGAATAGCCAGTGAGACCATGAAAAGATGTCCAACATCGTTAGTTATTAGGGATACGTAAAATGCAACCAAAATAAGATACCAACATACACTTAGAATGGCTAAAATTAAAGACTGGCCACGTGAAGTGTTGGCAAGGATGGGGAGCAGCTGGAACTGTTGCACATTGCTGGTACAAATGCAGTTATGGTTCAGTCACTCCAAACAACTCAGCAGTTTCTTGAAAAACCTACAGTGCAGAGGGACTTCCTTGATGGTCCGGGGGTAAGACTGCACTCCCAATGCAAGGCGCCTGGGTTAGATCCCGGGTCGGGGAACTAGATCCCACATGCATGCCACAACTAAGAGTCTGCATACACGAGTAAGAAGTCCGTATGCTACAGCGAAGATCCCGCGTGCCACAACGAATACCCAGCGCAGCCAAAATAAATAAATAAATATTTTTTTTAAAAACCTATGGTGCTTGCTTCGGTAGCACATATACTAAAATTGGAACTTATCATGGCCCCGGCACAAGGATGACACTCAAGTTCGCGAAGTGTTCCATATTTTTCAATCTAACCTCAAAAAATAGGAAGCAAGGGGCTTCCCTGGTGGCACAGTGGTTAAGAATCCACCTGCCAATGCAGGGGAAACGGGTTCGAGCCCTGATCGGGGAAGATTCCACATGCCGCGGAGCAACTAAGCCTGTGCGCCACAACTACTGAGCCTGCGCTCTAGAGCCCGCGTGCCACAACTACTGAAGCCCACATGCCTAGAACCTGTGCTCCTCAAAAAGAGAAGCCACCGCAATGAGAAGCCGGTGCACCGAATGAAGAGTACACGCCGCTCACTGGAACTAGAGAAAGCCCGCGCACAGCAACAAAGATCCACCACAGCCAAAAATAAATAAATAAGTAAATAAATTTATTTTAAAAAAATAGGAAGCAAAAGTACAAAGATTCAATGAACAATTTTTTATATTTTCTGGGATGGGGAGGTCCTACTTGTTAAGAACCTCAATTGCTAAGGTGAGGGGTTATGCTACAATGTGCTTCATTGATTTCCTCTGCCTCTTTTGCTCTGTTTTATTGCAACCCCTAAGTTGTTCATCACTCTAGTATTTGTAGAAAGGTGTTTTGTATTTTGCCACATCATGATAATAATAGTCCCGGTTTGACTGGCTGGTTTATAAGTTTAAGTACAAATAAATAAAAGATCCATTTTACCCTGAAAAAAAGAAAAAAAACTTAAACCTACACCTACCATAGGACCCAGTCATTCCACTCCTAGGTATTTACCCGAGGATGAAAGTATATGTCCACACAAAGATGCATACCCAGATGTTCACAGCAACTTTATCTGCAATTGTCAAAATGGAAACAACCCAAATGTCCATCAACCAGTAAATGGATAAACAAATTGTGTCCATCCATTTAATGGAATAGTAGGCAGCAGTGAAAAAAGAACGAACTTCTGATACTTGTGACAACACAGATGAAACTTCAAAAATATTCTGTTAAGGGACGGAAGCCAGACACAAGAAGCCACATATTATATGATTCCATTCATGTAAAATTTCTAAAAAGACGAAACTACAGAGAGCGAAAGCAGATCAGAGTGTGCCTGAGGCCAGGGGTGGGAGAAGGGTTGACTGCGACGGGCTTGAAGGAATTCATTGTGGTAATGGACGCATTCTGAAAACCTGGATTGTGTTAATGGGTACATAACTCTATAAATTTATTAAAACTCAGTGAGGAGACTTCCCTGGCGGTCCAGGGGTTAAGACTCCATGCTCCCAATGCAGGGGGCAATCCCTGGTCAGGGAACTAGATCCTGCATGCCGCAAAACCCCACATGCTGCAACTAAAAGATCCCTCATGCGGCAACGAAGATCCTGTGTGCCGCAACTAAGACCCGGTGCAGCCAAAAAAACAAAAAACTCCAAAAAACTCAGTGAACTGTTCAGCTAAAATGAGTGAATTGTATAGCATGTAACGAATTATACCTCATTCTTGCCCCAGGTTATCCCTAGCCAGGGCTCAAAGCAGGGACTAGGATTCACTGTCCCTTACATGCCACCTCCTACCGGTCACCAAATCCTGTCCACTCTACCCCCTGCATGTCTTCCCAAATCCCCTGATCTCTCTTTGCTCCCCACTACAGGCCTCCAAAGCCCAACTCATGCACCCGGACCCTCAGGCCTTTCTGAGGCACACGAGTATTAACCATTTCATCATTTATCACATTGACGGAAATTATTTGCTCCCATAAGCTCACCAGCAAGAAAAAGTCCGAATTTCTTCCTTGGTCACCGAGGGTAGCAGACTATCCTGGGGGACTGGGATGAGAAGGTCTAGATTACTCTGGCCTTGTGCAATGGGAAGAGGGAGGGAGGTCTTACATCCTAAGATCCCCCCTTTCCCTCTGAGAACCCAGAACAATGCATAAAAATACCTTCAATTGCTATGCCAATTCTGCGGTTCAAACAACCAGTCTCAGGACTTGTCCAAAGGGAAAGGGGGCCTCTCTCAGACCAAAAGGGGTGAATTCTTCCACCATGATCTGAGGGCAAGACCATGCTTCAAGTTCTTTTCCCTGGGGGTGAATGGGATTTACAACCCATGGGGCTTGGAGGGAGGAGCCACAAGGTCGGACCCTTCTCATGTATTTTTTAAACCTTCAGCGCTCTCTCACCATCTTCAGGCTTCCCAAGACCCATTCTAGCCCCCCAGGACCCCTGGGTCCCCAAGACCTCTCCCTGCCAATCAGGACTCACTGGGACCCCCAGGGCCCCTCAGCTCCCTCTCTCAGGTTCTCCCTGGTCCCTCAGGCCTCTTTCAGGCCCTTGGGTTCGCTTGAGCCTCCTACTCCCAACCTTCTACAGTCCTCACTCCTCCCAGGTCCCCTCAGCATGTCCTCAGGACCACCTTTAGGAACCTCAGGGTCCTTCAGCACCCTCCAAGAAGCCGTGGGCCTCAGCCCTCCAAATTCCCCTCAGCCCCTCCTCAGAGTCGCCCAGACAGCCTCAACAACCTCAAGACTTCCTATAGCCCCTGCTCAGGACCTCCCTGCCTCCCAGACCCCTTGGCATCCCCAGTTCCCCCATGGCCACATCACAGTCAGGAGCCCCTGGGTTTCCTTTCAGATCTCCACACCCCTCAAAGCCCTCTCAGGCCCCTAGGGCCGCATGCAGACGCCTGGAGGCCCTGGGGCCCCCAATCCGCCTTCGGATGACCCGTGAACAGCCCTCAGTCCCCTCAGTACTCCATAGCCACCTAAAGTCCGCAGCCCCCGTAAAAATCCTCGAGCCTGCCCAGGCCACTCCTCCAGGACTCCCCTTAGGTCACTCCAGCCCCGGGGCAGGTGCAAGCCCACCCTGTGGGCTGGTTCTCACCTGTTAGGGCGCTCGGGGCCCGGGCCCGCGCGGAAGCCGCCGCCACCAGCGCCACCACTGCCACCGGACGCCGCCATCTTCTCGCCGCCGCCACCGCGCGTGCTAGTGACGGGAACCGCGCGCGCCGGCCCGGGAGACTAAGTCTCGGGGGGTGGGGCGGGGCCTGCTCTGCGGAGGGGCGGGGCCCTAGGCGAGGGGCGGGGCCGGGTCTGAGGAGGAAGCGGGTCCTGGGCTGCGAGGGAGCGGGGTCTGCGGATGCGCGGGGGAGGGCAAAGGCAAGTGCCGGTTCTGCGGGAGGAGGGGGGGTGGGGCCTGGGGAGAGGGGCGGAGTCTGGGACGAGGCACGGTCGTGGGTCTGAGGAGGGACAGGAGACTGGTGGGACAGGGACAAGGGGCGGGGGGGCATAGTCTACGGAGGGACGTGGCCCGAGTAAGGGGAGGGACCTGTCTGGGAGAAACTGGGCAAAGGAAACCTGTGCGTGAGGGGGCGTGGCCTGGGGGGGCGAGGAATGAGGCGAGGGTGAGACGCAGCTAGGAGTAGGGGCAGCCCGACCGTTTAGTGCTGCACTTCAGGAGCGGGGTTGGCTGTGGGAAAGGGGAGCGGCGGAGCCGAGCCGAGATGAGAGGAAGGACATGGAGAAACTGGTCGAAGAAATCTGAGAAACCCCCCTCTCTCCTTCCAGGGTCACTCCCTCGCCAAGACCTCCCTCAGACTCAGGAACTCACCTGGTGCCCAGGCCTCAGACTTCCAACCCCTCTTTGGGTCCCAGCCCTCCCCCATCTTCCCAGAGCCTCCTCTCTCCCATCCAAGAACCTCCACCTTCAGATTCCAACATCTGCCCTCAGATCCCCAAACCTCCTGCTTCACCCTCAGTTGTGGTTCCCATACCCCCAAACCCCTGCCCTCAAGTTATCTCCCCCATCCTCTGCTCAAATCCCAACTCCACTCCCCCAAATCCTTGCCCACAGACCCTTCAAACCCACACTTAACACCCCCAAAGTCCATTCCACCAGACCCAACCCCCTTGGACATCCCAGCTCCAGTGCCGCAAACACCCCTGTCTTCAGCCAGGGCGCGAAGTCCTGCATCTGTTTCCCTTTGTTCTTCCTTCTTGCCTCCCTTTCCTCTCCTCCCTTCTGGACCCCATGGAGCCCAGAGCCAAGAAGGTAAAGTTTCCAGAGCCTTTGAGACCACCCCCCACCCCACCCCCAACCCACTGAACGCCTAGAATCTTCACCCTGGAAGGGTCCAAGCTTCCAGGATTTTCTCTCCAGCCTTGAACCCATTTATTCTTTCACCTTCTGAGTTGGAAAACCCTCCCTTGTGCAGCCTCAGACAGGGTCCAAGGGTCCAAATGGGGCTCAGAGCCTTCCTGCAGTCAGCGCTGGGGAAAGGGGCTGGACATGGGGCTGGAGGGCCCAGAGGAGGAAGCAAGGGGCCTCCCTGGGTGGGCTCCTTCAGGTAGAACCAGACGCAACTGATCCATCTCCAGCAGAGGGTCGGGTACACAGTAGGTACTCAATCATTTGTGTAAAATGCTCAGGACACTGGAAGTTGATAGATACTCGGTGCTGAAGGGCCCTGCTAACTCCTCCAGCACACAATAAGCACTCGATAAATATTGAATGTGTGAGAGCATGAGCAGCTCACATTCCGGCTAGCTCTGCACACATCCCCTCACCTGCCTGTAGTCTGCCTGCCACTTGAGCCTTTGTTCCGGATGAACCACATGCAGGCATCAAACCCCGCTCAGCAGAGACCTTCAGCTCGCACGCCCAACACATACAGCTGTAGGCAATGGCATCCATGTGCACCCACACTTCATAAACACACAGATTTGACCCACATGTCAGACACATAGTCAAAGATAAGCAAGAAGAGGTTCACTGGGCCCCTGGCTGCGTGTTTACAGGTAGCACACTGCAGACGCATGGTCTGTGGACACACTAGTTACTTCAAGATCACATAGCACAGGACAGCCAGTGCAAAGGCCCTGAGGTAGCATGCCTGCAGTGTTGCCTGGTGGGGGAAAGTGAGGGAGAGGGAGAGGGAAGGAGAAGATGAGGTGGGCAGCCACGAGGGGTGGTCTAGGTCATGGAGGGCTTGTGGACCACTGTGGAGGCATTTTCCCTGTGTGAAATGGGCGGGGGGCTAGTGAGCAGAGGGAGTATAACCAACACTGACAGTTGGAGGCAATATCTTGACTTAGAGACATTACTTAGGAGGTAAGATTTCCTGGCCAAAAGATGGTGCTCATCCCATGGTGGTGGCCAGGGAGGAATGGGAGGCGATCCTTGCCAGGATGTACTTTGCAGGTGGAGCCAACAGGTGATACAGCAGATGGGATGTCGGGGGGCAGGCAGAGCGAGGCCAGGGATCCCCCCCAGGGTTCTTGGCCTGAGCCCAATGGGCTGCAGTACCTGGAATGCATCACGGGCAGGTGGGGACAGAGAGGACCCAGGAAGGTTACTGCACACAGTCATCCAATAATGATGACCCACGGTCTGGCAGAGCGCACGGGCAGGGACATGGCAGACAGCGTCTGCAGGCCTGGCCACCATCTGGCCCACAGCTGGCACAGCTCTCCCAGAGGCAAAGGCCTCACCACCTGCTCCCCGCTCCAGACCAGCTGTGGGACTCACGGCCCCAGGTTGGAGCTGGGAGGCCTCCTCATAACCTCCAGGTGTTACAGAGGAGGAAATTGAGGCCTGGGGGATAGGCGATGCCTTGCTTTCCTACATCCTCACCCTGGGGCCTCATCCACCCTGTCTGCCCTTCACCACTGAGTGGCCTCAGAGCAAGCTGCTGACACTCGGGCGCCTCCTTCTGCTTCTCTATAAACTAGAGAGGTCACCTTCAAATAAATTCTCACAATCTTTGCTATTACCCTTAGTTGCGCATCAACTTCTTATGAGCCTCGAGGCCTTGAGTGGGTTGCTCCAGCTCTACACGTCAGTTTCCCCATCTTCAAAATGTCCTTGTGGGACAGAGCAGAAGCCCGGATAAAATAAACAATGTACAGGGCTCAGGGCCACTCAGGGAGTAGATCCTAACTCCATGCCAGCGGTGGGCATCTCCCCCCTCCCACACTCACTCTTCGACCCTCAGCCCTGCTTGATTTTTCTATCTAACAAACTCTGCATTTTAGGTTTCCTTGTTTTAAAATGGAGATATAATTCCCATGCCGTAAAATTCACTATTGTAAAGTGTACAATTCAATGGCATTCAGTGCATTCATGACGTCATGCAATCAGCACCTCTATCTAGTTCCAAAACATTTCCATCACCCCGAAAGGAAACCCCATCCCCGTTAGCTGTCACTCTCTGTTCCCACTCCCTCAGCCCCTGGCGATCACTAATCTGTGTCCTGTCCCTATGGATTTACCTATTCTGAACATTTCATATAAATGGAATGACATGTGTCCTCCTGGGTCTGGCTTGTTTTATTTTATTCAGCATAATGCTTTTGAGGTTCATCCACATTGTAGCATGTGTCAGTGCTTCATTTCTTTTTATGACTGGGTAATATGCCATAGTATGGGGATTTCCCTGGCAGTCCAGTGGTTAAGACACTGCAATTCCACTACAGGGGGTGTGGGTTCGATCCCTGATCGGGGAACTAAGATCCCACATGCTGTGCGGCATGGCCAAAAAAAAAAAATCCACAGTATGGATGGACCACGTTTTGTTTATTCATTCATCCACTGATGGACATTTGGGTTGTTCCTCTCTTGGCGATTGTGACTAGTGTTGCTGTGAACATGCGTATACAAGCATCTGTCAGAGTCCCTGTGTTCACTTTTGGGGGGGCACATACCTAGGAGTGGAATTGCTGGATCACAGGTTAGCTCTATGAGGAATTTTTTGAGGAACTGTCTTGCATTTTCTTTTCTTTTCTTTTCTTGTTTTTTGCCCTCATGGCGTGCGTCGCTTGCAGGATCTTAGTTCCCCAGTCAGGGATTGAACCCGGGCCCTCAGCAGTGAAAGCGCAGAGTCCTAACGACTGGACCACCCGGGAATTCCCTGCATTTTCTTTTCTTCCTTATCCTCTGTCATCTCCTCAAGGGATGGGGACTCTGTTTTCTTCCTAGCCACTCCACAGAGCCCTGGGCAGCACCCAGAATGTTAAGTAAATACACGATGCATGAACAAATCAATGTGACTATTGGCTGAACAAGAACTCTTAGGTTCTCTGGGTTCTCAATTTCCATATATGTGAAATGCGAATGGACTCAATCCTTCCCTTGGTAAGAATTAGTCCTGGGCTTCCCTGGTGGAGCAGTGGTTAAGAATCCACCTGCCAATGCAGGGGACACGGGTTCGAGCCCACGTCCAGGAAGATCCCACATGCCGCGGAGCAGCTAGGCCCATGGGCCACAACTACTAAGCCTGCACTCTAGAGCCCGCAAACCACAACTACTGAGCCCACACGCCACAACTACTGAAGCCCATATGCCTAGAGCCTGTGTTCCGCAATGAGAAGCCACCACCATGAGAAGCCCACGCACTGCAACAAAGAGTAGCCCCTGCTTGCCGCAACTAAAGAAAGACTGTGCACAGCAACGAAGACCCAGCGCAGCCAAAAATAAAATAAATTTAAAAAAAAAAAGAAGGAAAAGAATTAGTCCCCCTTTCTCCAAAAAGGCTGTGAGCCTGACACTCAGATGCCCACGGTGTAAGCACCATGGTTTGCTAACTCGCCCCAAGCAAACAGTCACCAATTCTGCATTTCTTCCTCCCACTGCTGCCTCCACAGATGCTCAATGGCCGGAACCTGAACAGCAGAGAAGGTCAAGTGCAGAGATGGGGAGGGGCTCCTGCAGTTACACAGCAATGGCTTTGGGCGCTGCGCCTTAAGGAGTGGGCCGTCTGGGAGGCTGAGACAGAGACAGCTCTGGGGAGCCCCACCTCAGCTGGAGCACTGGGGGCAGACGCCAGTCCACAGCCAGGCAGGGCCAGGACTGCTGCTTAGAGGTGAGCCAACCCCAGGGAACCTCATGCAGGGTGGGCAAAGGAGGCCCCAGTAACTGATCCCCAGTGGAAGTGGGCTCTGGGCGAGGGGAGGAATCCCAGCTTCCTCCGTTGTTACTATTAA